ATAATAATAATAATAATAATAATAATAATAATAATAATAATAATATATCACTTGTAATAGTCAATGCTTTTCTGAAAGACTTGGTATTACCACCTGTTTATTTTCCTCACCTTCATATGTGAGTGAATTTGAAGATATGATTTGTACTTATATGTATGTTTCTCTGCATGTTGTTTTTTTTGTTTTCTTTATTTGTGTCCACAGGAAATCCATCCATGATGTAAAGATCAGTGGTGACCTTGGAAACAAAGTCATAGCTGGCAAAGTTCTGGCGAAATCTGGTCTGCATACATATGAAAACAATAAAAAAGAGAAGAAGTTTTTGTTTTACCTGGGAGTGGCTGATGAAACAGGCAGCATTAAAGTGATAGTGTATGGAAGAGAGCGCTATCAGCGTTTCCAGGAGAAGAGCTGCTACCTGTTCAGAAATGTCATCATGGACAAAAATGTCATGAAAGTGACCGTAAAGAGCGTCATATCAAAGACAGCACCTATTGATGTTCCTGAGAATGTGGAGATGGAAGCTCTGAGGCTCGGTTATTCCCAGACTCCAGTTTGCTCCATCGGACAGGCCATCGGATCAGAGGAGAAGACATCAGTGAGTGTTAAAGGAAAAGTAAGAGAGGTAAGTGTGACCTGAATATGCTGCAGTGAAGCTGTGAGGGCGCTCGTCATGTTTAGCTTAGTGTCCTGCTGAAGGCTGTGCTGTGAAAAAAATGACTTTAACTGTCCCACAAAGATTTTTCTGTGTTAAATATTAAATATATTGCAAACAGATATATTTGCTCAGTTTAACCTTTACAGACTATTTTGTATGTTCACAGTGGTCCAGGTCAGTTTTGACTTAGTGTTCATAGCAAATTTGAAGCTTCAGATCTATTTAGAATACAGAATAGTGCATCTGATAGATGATGAATCTTCAATTAATGTTTCAGAGAACAGGGAGAGTCCACCTTTTAGGTTTTATAGGACACACTGGTCAGATTATCTCAGTGTTCCAGTATCACCCCTGATGGAGTTGGAGATGATGGCTGAGGGAGTGGGAGGTCTGCACATATCTGCTTAGACTGCTGGTTCGGTGACTCTGGGGTTGAACAATGAAGCCATCACAGTGGCAACAGCTAAAGTTCCTCTAACAGCAGCTTGAGGCTGAATTTGTGATTCCAAACTTCACAGCAGAAATAAACATGCACAGGAGAGTTGTTGGTCTCTGAGTTGTTGTCATGTTGTGTTGTTGGTTTGTTCAGATTGGCTCAGTTGAAACCGTCACACTGAAGAAAAAACAGGGAGCAACAAAGAGGAAAGAGTTCCAACTTGAGGACAGCACAGGCTCCATCCGGATCACTTTGTGGGGCGAAGACATCAAACAGCTCAGAGGAAAATCACCTGGAGACTCTGTCAGGGTGGTCAATGTAAAGACCAATCACTACAATAATTCAGTATCGCTGAACTCAACAGATTTCACCAGAATTTTTAAGGTAATTTCTGATTCTGGCTTCAGTTTGAAATGTATTTAATATTTGGTATTGATTCAAAGCAGAGACTGTCAGCTTTGACCTCCTACTGGAACATTTCCTCACTGTTGTTGAGTCTCTGCTCTCTGGTTAATCCAGCCGTACCTGTTCTAAGTGTCCCCACCAGGTGGTTCACTGTGAGGGTCTCCCTGTGGTCCAACAGACTGAGCTCCACCATCTTGGACGTAATCTGTTATTAGACTCAATTGGCTTATCTCAACATGTAAAAGAACCCACCCACCACTTTAATCACACTCTAGATCTTGTTTTAACATATGGCATAGAAACTGAACATTTAACAGTGTTTCC